AAAAAAATCAGATATTGGGCTATTATATGCCCTCAGCTTATAGCTGGTCACAATGTGATCTATAGTTTGATGTGAGGCCCCACAGTCACACTGAGGTCACCTTATTATTTCTAAAGTAAATTTCAAATATGTAGTAATACAAAAATATTAATGTTCTGTCATTGAGCTGAAGCCTTCATCCTGCTTTATGGTCTCTTATGAAAAGCTGCAGCAACAAGATCAGCTTTCTCTCCCTCAAATGGGGTCCCCAATTCCATTTGGCTCAGAGAGAGGGAGAGACAGGAACCCTTTCCTCTGCTCTGCTGAGAGGTCGGCTCTGTTTGATTCCTTCTCTGGCTAAAGTAAATTTTCATTCCAGCCGATCAACATAAGAACTACTATGCAGCCTCAAGAACTTGTGCCAAATACCTGCACCATGAGAACTTCTCCAAATGTGCTGAAATATTCTTTCAGATCCTGCTCTGTTGTTTTCCATGGAAGACCCAAAACTATCAGATCAGAGGTTTTTTGCACTGCTCGTTTCACTTTAACGGCTGATGAAGCATCTGTTTCATCCATTTTCCTCTTGTTGTCTAAGAGACAGCCATAGACATAGATGAACACAGATTACATTAAATGCAACATAAGACTCCCAAAGTTGCTGGGAGTTGGGCAGCATATAAATTTAATAAATTACTACATATTGTTACTATTATTAAAAATCAGTTAATTTTAGAGCTGTGCACATCTCAATCTTGTTACTCCAGAAAGAATTATTTTCAATATGTAGCTTATTCCTAAGTAATTATGCACATAGTCTCTCTAATATGTATTTAGTTAGATGTCAGTAAGTGGGGTCTTACAAAATAACTGCATTTATATAACCTCATAATGCTAAGGCGTATGCTTAAGTTAGACAGTAGACTACTATTTGTGGTTTCCCTTCCCAATTATTTAAAAGAATAACAGGCTAAATAATTCAGTTGCTTCACACATGGCTGAAATAAAATGTTTTGTTAACTGATTTAATTTCCAACTATATTTTTTTATAGTTGATAAACAAGAAGCTATTTTTCTTTCTAAGAAAAAGAAGAGTAATTTTAAACACTCACCTTTGGGATAATTCACCACATATACCAAATTTCCCCAGCCATTATCTGGTGCGTGAAGAATTCCTTCCACTAATCGGACTCCTCTCATACACTGAGACACAGGGTTTCTGTAACGCAGACCACACGCCCCTGGGAACTGAGCAGTAACTGTTGAGAGTAACACAGTCCCATCATCCTCTGAAGGGATCTCAATGGGTTCCTCATTCTCATCTTCCGTAACTCGGATATATTCCGACATCTCCACCGTGATGTTACTGAAGGGTAAAAGAAACAGATGAATAAAGAAGAAAAGTAAGCAACATGCAATTTATAAAAAGTAATCAGTGGTTTGGCTTATGGCAGAATCTAAATACTGTTTACCTGATAGAACGTGAAGTGAAAAAGGACAGATTGTAACTAAAATGCCAGAGCATGCTTTGCATGGAAAAGGCTGTAAATCCAATCTTTCTATCTCTAGTTGAAAAAAAAGAAAGAAAGATGGAAGATGGAAGAACTTTGAGAGCCTAAAGATCCACCTACAATTGGAATGGACAATACTAAACTAAATCTGCCTCAGTACAAAGGAGTTTCCTAGTTTATGCACATTTTATTTCCACCATGCTTTTATTCCCATTTTCAGACCAAGAATGCATACCAAACTAGTTCAGATCCATCAAATAACTATAGGTTCTAGCTTTACTTTACAATTTTAAAAGACACAACAAACAAGAGGAGAGGCAGATGAGCTGGATAATAATAGAACAAATTTAAAGAAGCATTTATGCACAATTTAATGTTAAAGCCTCTTCAAACAAAAGACACACAACTACCCAGTAGCAGGCAGTTAATCCTCTACTTGGTGCAGAGAGCAGAATTCATTCCTGCAGCCTCAGAACCACTTGCAGTTGGAACAAAATGTCCCTTCCAGAGAGAGAAGCAAATTCTCTTCAACTGCTGCTTCTCTGCCCAGCAGCTTACCTTAATAACATTTGGGGGCAGGGGAGACAGAGGTTAACGTGTCTTCCTTGGAGTCAATATTCAGAAAGAAAAAATAATGAATGCATACTGTATTTTATTTTTTTAACATTCATATGCATTTGGTATACAAACAAAATCACTCCATTTACCTGATACACTACCAACTACCATTTTCATTCCAACAGTGGCCATCCAGATGCTCGTAACTTTTATTATTTACATGCTACCTTTAAGGCCCATATAACACATTCCAGTTAGTTAATCTAATTATAAGGTAGTTACTGTCCTCGCCATCTTGCCAAACTGGCACCCATCAGCCAGCTATTAAAAAAGGAACAGAGAGACAAGTAAATTAATTCCTCTGGCTCAGCAAGACACCAGCAATTTTTGGCTATTCCCTTTGACTTTCCTGTTCAACTGAACACGTTAAAACAAACAGGAACTTCTGTCAACAGCGTAACACTCAAAACTGGCCCCTCTCTCTCACACAAAATCATAAAATATTATGATTTGCTTGATCTTGTTTGTCCTCTATTTCCTTTTCATTCTGTGTCATTCATTTTATATTACAAGCTGAGAATGTTGCAAAGGGAACAGCATAACGTGTGTGTGTGTGTGTATGCACACAAATAAATGTATAATTAAAACAAAGTCCATCTTGTTTTAATTGCTCTATAAGCTGGTCCAGTAGTAACCATGGCTGAAAAGTTAAATATATTTTAAAAAAAGAAAATCATAACATACAAAACTATGAAAAGTAGAAATCACACACACAAAAAGACAAACAGCATACTAAAATGGTTTCTGACCCTAAAATATATTTTAAAACCAAACATGAAGAGAGGTTTCCAATCTTTGGGGACAGCCACTAAAAACTATTTTCTGTTATTGGAGTTTCATTAACAATAACATTAGCATCACAAACAAAAAGTTCAGTGCAAGGTTTATTAGTCATATGGCTCAAAGAGCCCACAACAGGGATTTATAACAAGCATTGCCTCATTTGTTTCAAAGTAGACTGCTTTAGAGTAAAACTGTCACTAACAGTATCAATACAATGAAGATTATATATGATAGAATGTATGTATTCTCTTGAATTGACTCATCTATCATTCTAGATGTCAGAGCTAATCTCACCTCCAACTGGTTGCCTCCAACAGACAACTACACATTTCTTAGTAGATGGAAAGTGGGAAAGTTTTGTGCATAACAATTGCTGTTAAAAGTTGCTGGATCTAACAGAAATTCAGTTGTGATCAGTTTCTGCTGCAAATGGATTTTCTGTGCAGGATGCTAATATCTGGGTTTTTTTTTTTGGTTTACAACTGTACACACACACACACAACATAAATAAATAGGTACAAATTTAGCCACCATGGGAATGAGTTATCCATAAATGTACCCTGGAAGTCAGATTAAATATTTTTGAAATAGTGAGGTAACAAATTCCTCTTTTCTTCAATCAGCCTATCAAAGGAGGTAACCCAGTGCCAGCCTGTTGAAAGATGAAGTTGAAAGATGAAGTTTCCCTCGACTTCTCATGGCTCCATCAGAACATCCACGAAATTTCCTTGGCACAATACCGAAGTGGCTTGCCACTGCCTTCTTTAGGGATTTTTTTTTCTTCCCAATCGAACCTACAGCCCTGGGATTTCCTAGTGGTCTCCCATCTAAATACTTAGTCTTAAGTATTTTCCGTAGGTTTTTAAAATCAGTGGGGGAGAGAAAGACATAGCTCGAAACTACTTAAAGTAGTAGGGGCGTAGAACTGAGGCAGCCTTGTCTTCTCTGATACAAGGCCCTCTCCCCGCATTTCTCTGAACTACAACTCCCATCAACCTGCAGTTTCCCGCAGAGCCTATTCTTCCACAACCACACCACAGGCATTGGCTGGGGGGCAACGGGAGCCAGCGCAAACTGGAAGGCGCCCTTTGCGGAAGAGGGCCTCGCTGGCTAGAGGTGGTGGGAACTGTAGTCCCTCAAACATGGAAGACGCACAGCTGGAGAATGACGCCTTATTTCTTTCCACATGGAGTCGGGGAGCGCGGAAGAGAAAGACCCACATTCGCAATCGAGGCTCGGCAGGGTTTCTGCCACCGCAGACGCCGCGCGAGGGCCCAGCCTTTTCCATGGGCGATCCCTACGCCAATCCCAGGCAGCGCCAAGTTGGACTGACTCGACCTTCACCCGCCGGACTCACCGTTGGCGCGAAGCCTAGGCAGGACAGGAAAGAATCGGTTGCGACTGGGCCGCGAGAGAACGTCGGGCAAGCTCCCGGCTGAGGCCTCTGCTCTCCTCGCTGTCGACAAAATGGCGGCGCCCTCTTTCCCCTCAGCAACTACGGACTGAAGCCGCGGTCCTAGAGCGAGCCATTCCGACTACGCTTGGGGGGGAACGCCGTAACCTCTCACCGGAGGCTTTTATCATCGCCACAGGAAAATACGCTCCGGAGAGAGCATAGTTCAAAATATTGCTCTCAGTATTTCCATTTCGAAGTTTCTCATATTCTCTGTCCTCGCGTAAGGAGATAATTTGAAGTCTATGGTACAGTTTCACCCCTTTGTACCACCAAGAGTGGTACGGCCCGCTCGGCCGTGTCATGCGCATGCGTTACAGGGACTATGAACAGCTATAAAGGAGAGGCGGCAGGCTCGTAAGCAAAGTTCTTTGGGTAGTGTTGTTTTTTTTCTGCGCATGCGGGAGAGGCAGGACCTGGGAAACATGACATTATCCGTGAGGAAAAAGGCGGGAAGAACCGTTGGCGGGAAGAGTTGCGCATGCGCAGTCCCGGAAGCACCGAAACCTATCCTAATTTCTCTTGCGCTGAAGGGGTTAGTTTAGGCTTTTGCAATTTTGCAAAGGCGGCCCCCCCCAAAAGCTGTTTTTTAATCCCAAAGTTCACCCTGAGGTGCGCCTAGACTACCGCACTTGATCTTGTACCGAGTGTTTTTTCACATCGAAGGGAGTAGCCTACCCCGGCGTGTGCAATTAGCGCAAAGTGGTTTCTTGAATTCGGAGGTCATAAAGGCCGGGATTTTGCGACTAGGCTACTTTTTTTCGTCATTAATTCTTGCAGAACTTAATATTTTAAAAATTTAGGAGGGTTGAAATGCTTCCTGAGTCGTTCCTGCAGCCACTGCAGAGGCTTCTAATACTGCATCTGGTGCATAAAAAAACCTGATGATTTACAAAAAGCTACAGAGTAAATGTAAATGGACTGTATATGCCCAAGAGTAACAAGAGCAAGCAAAAAAAACCCCCCCACAGGCTGTGTTGTATGAAAATAAAGTATCCTTTTATTTCATTTTTTAAAAATGCATTTTATCATGTGCTTTCAACATTCATTCATGTTTTCCAGCTGAGAAAGTAAAAAAAAGGAAGGTTGTAATATTTGCTCAGTTAATTTAAAATAAAAGGTATTGCTGAGGAGCTTATTTTGATGGAGTAAAAAGAACCCCCCCCCTCAAACCACTTACATATTGTAGTCTTAAAAGCAATGTGGATGGTCGCATGAGGTTATCTAGAACTAATCTTATGTAAGAGTTTTTATTTTTTAGGCCCTTACAAAAGTGTGGGTTTTGTGTTTTTTTTCCCCCTCAAGCCTTTTTTTTTTTTAAATATGTCTTAGAGATTAGTGTGTTTGGTCATTTGGGTACAATTTAATATCAGGGGAAAGTTATTTTTCTACCACCTGAGATGGGAATTTTTAAAATATTAAATACTGTACTCTTTAGGTAAAACTGCCCAATCTGTTTTAATCTGTCTTTTTATGGCCTCATTTAGTATCTAAAATTAATCTGTTTTTCTAACTAAGAATGGGTTTACATTGTGGCTAAGCCAAGAGGTTTTGCTGGCTGTGGTGTCAATAAACCAAAATTGGCTTGGCTGTTGCATCATACTGAACCATAAACTATGGTTCACAAGTTATAGTAGCTGGCTTCACTTGTTGTAGTAAGCCAAAACCAACCCAGTCACATTGTGACTTTCCATGATGGGTCAGTCCAGTGTTGGAGTGATGTATAAATACAGCCAAATGGGGCCTAGTCATCAAACCATGGCTTAATGTGTGTGCTTGAATTAAGTCAGGAGGTGAAACTGTAAACTTCCAAGATCAGGCCTGAATTTTGGCTTAGCTTATTCTTTTCCTCCCATTTGTTATTTCTGAACTATTTCATCTGTTTCGGAGAGCATAGCTATACAGAATAATTTTATAGAAGACAATCATCTTATAGAAGATACTCTGAAAGCAAGGCTGGTTCTAGTTCAGTTTAAAGTTAATACAGTTGAATAGGAAGAGTAACAGGAGCTTTGGAAATGCCGATCGACAACTATCAATAAACTTTTGACAGGCATACCTTTATGTACAGTGAAGTATGGTCCTCTTTGCATGCTAGCCATTCTTTTCAAATTGGCATTTATAGTTAAAAGATAGTGGTACAATTTTAATATTTTCCTTTTGTTCTGACTTTCCCTTTGATTGTAAGAAATTCCTATATAGTCATTTCATCTTCTAATTGTCATTTGATTCCCCCATTAGGGCTAGTGAAACTGGGGTCTTCCTAACCATGCATCTGATAAGAGAAATTTCAGGGCTCTTGGTCCATCTGCAGAATTTTTCCTGTTGGCAGCATGCAATCCTACTTGGAGGTGAATGAACAAGTGCAGGTGAAAAGATCACTTAGTTCTACATCTTGTCTCTGAAAAAAAAAAATATGTGGATTATTTAGTTTCTGAGGTTGTAAAGTGTTGCTAAGGGTTGTGATTGCATTTGACTTCCGGTTTATTTTGATTATTTTCTCTCCTTAGTTAACATGTGGCAGAAACAATTCTGGCGCAAACAAAAATGGTCTGAAGACAAAGAAAGAAAACTCCACCTAGGTAAGTACTTTGTAAGCATCCTGTGAATATTTGCACTTCATTTTGTTCTGGCTTTAAAACAATAACAGAAAGATTGTGATTAGCCACAGAAGCCTTTTTGGTTTCCGACTTGCACGCACTGCAGAAAAGTAATCTTTTTAGTAATTTTGAATTCTTATATTAATGATTATCTTTACTTTCTTCACTTGTTTCTTCACCAATTGCAATGTTAAGCCACATAATTAAGAAAAAATTATCTTGGCATAACAGCACAGTTGGGCACACTGATATGTGCTTCACCAAGTACTCTTACGCTATAGTGAGAGTTTAGCGAATGCCCTGTGGAGTAACTGCATAAGACAGAGCAGACGTTAGTGCTAGGGACTCGTACGCATAAGCTGCTGTCTGGGAGAAATGGCAACACTAGCAGCGTGGGGAGCTTTCTTGCCTGAAAGTGCTGGCAGGTGGCATCAGCACTGGAAGATTTAGGTAACAAAAATCGGGACAACTGCTAGATAGCGCAAGAGAGAAACATCTGTACAGTATCTTCTTACTGCCACCTAGTGGCTGCTGTAGTCAGTATACTGTACATCAAGGCTACCTGCTGCATTATTTGCTGGCACCAGCAAATAGCCAGCACCTATTGTGATACCCTAGGAAAATGCCGAGGTTCCTCTGTAGATACACGCTGGCCCTGCAGCATAATATTACCAGCCTGGTTCTTTTCAAGATTGAAGGCCTAGCTGGATCCCCTATGCCTCTGGCTCCAAAAGCAGCTACCACATCTACCTTTATTGTATGTATGTCACTGAAATCAAGTTCTGGTGCAAATTGGTTTTCCAGAATCAATATATTTTCTGAAAATACTTGTAAAAGATGGCTGGCTTCTGCCTAGAATCCCATAGTTGTATAGAAGCAGTGGCATTTGGACATTACCATTCAAAATGACCAACTTGGTCGGGGGGGCAAGATATCAGCAAGTGCCTTGTGAGTGAGGGGCAGAAAATGGCCCTTGATGAGACTACTGGAAGCATGGTTTTTCCTCAGCCATTAGCTCCTTTGACACAGCAAGATGTAAGCAGCTAAAAGCTCCCAGTCTAAATAACACAAAGAGCTGGCAATTACCACAGCAGGATTCAGCAGCAGAGCTGCTCCAGCACAGCTGTTTTCTCATTAGAACCAGAAAGTCATTTGCACTCTGGGACTTGAAGCACATCAACAACGATGCCAGGAATTAAGTATCTCTTGGTTTTCTCTGTAAAGGACAAAGTGCTAGGTAATACTGTTTTTTTAGTTGTTTATGGTCATAGAGGAGCAATCCCGACCGTGTAGCTTGCACTCTAATGATGACACTGAATAGGTGAGGGTGTCCATATTTCTTCATCAGAATGCAGGGTTGGAGAAAGTTTTGCCTGTATAGTATTTCTTGCCTTGCTCTTTTGTAAGGCATAACAGTAGAAGCAACCCATTATATCAGGAGAGCATGTTGATTGGCTGTCAACTGCACCAGTTTATACTGATTAGTTAATTTATTCATACACTGGTAGTTTCTACTAATCACAAGCCTAGATTGCATAGACTGGATTTACACATTGCACTAAGCTACAGTTGGTTATAAGACAAAGTTTGCTGGGTTCACACAATACCATAAAGCATTAACATGTCTCATAGATGACAAGGGCTGGGGTTATACATACTAAGCCAAAACCAAACAGATCACAGTTTCCGAATCCAGTCAATACACTGTTGCATTACAGGCAAAATTAAGCTACTGTACTGTATATACAGTACTGATTACCTCCTGTTATTATACAGCCCCCTTCCCCCATTTTTTTTCAACATAACCCTAATTTTGACAGGCTCTCAGAAAATAAATTGTGAAATACTGTATGTGCATCATTATTCAGAAGCAGGTCTCACAGTATTCAGTAGGGCTTGCTCCCTAACTGGTAACTCTTTCTGGTGTAGCTGAGAGAAACCTGATAGAACTCAGTAGGCCTTTCTTACGAGCACACCTAAATAGCTTGAGCTCTAAGTCCTCTATAATTTCATCAAGAAAAGAGTGGAATTCCCACTTTGGACATGAGGGGGCAATATTTTCTGTTGATCAACTCTACCAGTGGATTAAATGTCTTTTGCCTGATTCTGGTGTTGCAGAAGGCATAACCTGTTCTCTTTCATTGAGCCAAACTGTCTGAATGGGGCAATAGAGAATTCCCTTTTATTTTTCAAAATGGCAAGTCATCCAGGACTGAACCTTAGAACTCTTTGGCTCTTGGAAGGATGGGTGAGGGTAAGGCATAACTGGGACTTAGCTGGCTCTGAAGGAAGGGAATATGATTGCAGTAGTTATGAATGCAGATTTAGGGGGTAGCTGCTACTGCAGTGAGAGCTTCATAATACGTTTTTAATGTTCACTGAGGGGGCTATAAAACATAAAGGATGAGCATTTCCATATTTGAAAATCCCCTTGATTGGCAGTTTTATTATCTCTGAA